TGACTCTGAAAAAATAAACGTTAAGCGAAAAAAACGTTAAACGAAGCAAACGTTATGCGAGGCACCACTGTAGATTGTTGTACATGAAAAAAAATATTAAGCATCCCCTGAAAATAAGCCCTAGTGCATTTTCTGGAGCAAAAATTAATATAAGACCCTTTATTTTCAGGGAAACACAGTAGGCAACTAATCTGTATACTTTCCATCGTGCTTTTCCACCAGAGAGTACCCTATGTGATTCAAGTGTGTATCTAGGCATACGGAGGTATTCTATTGTGAGCAACAGTCTTTCGACATATGTGAACAGTTTCAGGAATCCTTTTCAAACATCATGTTGCATTAAAAAATGAGCAATAGCAGATAGAAGAGCAAAGAGCTGAGTACCAGTCAATCAATTCTTTGTCAGTAGATGTTACTGAGAGGCATGCCTTATTAGTTAATTACCGGTAAGAGGCTTCCAGAAGATCACAGTACCAAGACACACCCAAATCTAGAGGTTGTAATGCTAATTTTAAAAGGAATTCCTTGAGGCCTCTAGATCATTGCCACTGTTATCCCTGCTCTTTTTCACAGAAGTAAGTCTTTTGGGGGTTATTAATGGGACATCATTGCTGTTACCAGCTCAGCCAGAAAAGTCAGCCACAAATACTCTCCAGTTCCCTCTAGTGGTGAATTCCAACATTGAGCCTTGAAAGTACCGGTATTTGCAAAAATGTGGAAGAGGAAAGAAAGCAGTAGTTCCCCGTCACCTGAGATAGATAAGAGAATGACATTAAACTTGAAATATTATGGGGTCTAAAACGTTTTCAGATACCCTCAAAACACAATATTTGAACATAATGAGAAAATGTTACTCCCTGCACACCAATGCAACTTTGAAGCTATTCATTCCCACCTCTTACTCAATTGTGGGTCGTTCTTTCCATGGAAAGTGTGTCTAGCTCCAGGTTGGAATTGCTCCCGTGCTGCCTTCAGACCTTCTGTTTTGTCTTTTAGTTAGTTGGTTGTGTCTTACTTTATATGCCATTTTTCTTTTCCTATTTATTTTTAATGACAAGATGTCTGTGGTGTTTATATTGTTTTAATTATAAGTATAAACTACCCTAATTTTTATAAGGATAAAAAATACTTAAAGTACTTAAATAGATCTTAAAAAGCATACCACCTCTTTTTTCGTTGGGTAATACAAACTTTAAATACATGTAGATAGCTTGATGCTGTTGTGGTGCTTTGGCAGGTTGAGTGGGGGGAGGAAATGAGAAAAAAAATTGCAGTTATGTGAAAAAGAAAATATACCCTGTTTGAATGCTTTGGTTTTAGGTATCAGGACATAAAAATCATCTAGTCCTTAGCAGATCTGAAAATTAGGTAAATACAACCTCAGATGAACAGCATATATTATACTGTCATGATTTATTTTACAAATATAAAATTGAAATGGAGAAGCCATGTGTGAAAAACTAAATACATCATTACTAATTCCATAGGAATTAAGAGGCTAAGTAGCAGCCAGGTGCTGCTAAACAAATGCTCTCTAGTAATTAATTGATCATCAGCAAGTGTGACCACCTGTATAAAAGTCAAAGTTTTAGCAGTTTGATGGAGCATTCAGGTGTGTGCAATGCCAAGAAGGAAACACACAGGCAATTATCATAGAGAAGCAAATGTTGCTGCCCATCAATCTTGGAATGGTTATAAGGTCATTTCCAAACAATGTAAAGTCAGTCATTATTCACAAGTGGAAAACATTCAAGATAGTTGCCAATACTCCCAGGAGTTGACATCCACGCAAATTCATCCCAAGGTCGGACCTTGCAATTCTCAGAGAAATTGCAGAAAACCCACAAGTTACATCTCAGACTCTGCAGGCCTCAGTTAGCATATTAAATGTTAAAAGTTCATGACAGCACAATTAGAAAAAGACTGAACAAGTGTGGTTTGTTTGAAAGGATTGCCAAGAGAAAGCCTCTTCTCTCTAAAAAGAATATGGCAGCATGACTTAGGTTTGCCAAGTTGCACCTGGATAAAGCACAAGACTTCTGGAACAATGTCCTTTGGACAGACAAGACCAAAGTAGAGATGGTTGGCCATAATGCACAGTGACAGCTAAAGCTTGGCCAAAATTGAGTTATGCAACAGGACAATGATCCCAAGCACACCTGCAAATCTACATCAGAACAGGTGAAAAAGAAAATAATCAAGGTGTTGCAATGACCCAGTCAAGGTCCAGACCTCAACCTGATTGAAATGCTGTGGTGGGACCTTAAGAGGGCTGTTCATAAACAAATGCCCACAAACAACAATGAACAGAAGCAATGTTTTAAAGAAGAGTGGGCCAAAATTCCTCGACGATGATGTGGGAGACTGATAAAATTATACAGAAAACAATTACTTCAAGTTACTGCTGTTCAAGGTGGTTCTACATACTATTGAATCATAAGGTATACTTAGTTTTTCACACATGGCTTCTCCACTTTGGCTTTGTTTTTGTTAAATAAATCATGACATGGTGTAACATATTACACATATGTTGTTCCTCTGAGGTTGTATTTACCTAATTTTCAGACCTGTTAAGGACTAGATGATTTTTATTATGTCCTCATATGTAAACCCATAAAATTCAAAGAGGGTGTCTTTTCTTTCTCACATGACAGTACAAGTGTATCCTAAAATCAAAGGGTTAATTGGGTATCCTGATCAAAGGGTAATCCTGAACATGTCATACATAAGTAAGCAGGTAGGATTCAGTGGAAGTTACAATCTAGAAAAGAATCAGTGGGTTCTGAATTTCCACCCTTGTTTTGTGTTTTTAAAATTTTTCCATCCACTTGCTTGGGTTGTCTGAAAGGGGAAAAAAAGAGTTCTGACATACGGACAATCAGAATCCAAGCAATCAGGAGTTCCACATCCCCCACGTCTCCAAATCTCAGACCACCACCAGGTGTTTGCAAACAGGAAGTAGAATCCTTGCTATCTCCAATTAGAGATGGCCAGAACTTCATTTCTGCTCTCCACTGGCAGTACTAGGAGCTAGTTGAGTCTCCCTCAGAAAAGAAGAAAGAAGAGAAAAGCTGGCTGCTTTTCAGCCACAGCTTCTGGGAACTTCTGGATAGTGAGAAAGAGACTCTACCATCCCCATACAAGGAGGCAGCTGCTGTAGCCTGGTGCTCCCTTGTATGGAAAGTAGGAGAGGAACAAAGCAGCAGCCCCAGCTGAAGCAGCAGGTGAAAAAGCTCCACCCAGCCCTTTGGCCAGGGATGCAGTGATGTCAGAGAGGTGGCTCCACCATCAATACCATGACTGCCTCCTTGGTTCTGAGGATTGCCTGGCCTTTGGAGGGCTGTGGGTGCAAGAACTCATCCCCACTCCTATTGGAGTTCCTCACACCAATCCTAGTTATATGGGTGTGTGGTAAGATGAGAGAGATGAGGAGGAACTAATAGTCAGAAACCGTATCAGTCCGCGATTCCAAAAGGTAGTTATAAGTACAGTATGCTATTTTAATTTAGCATTGCTACCTAATACTAACAATGTGGTAGGGAGGTGGTTTAAGGTAAACGTATGGGCAGAGGAGGGAGAGCACTCCATTCTACAGGTATTAACCATAATCAGGAAAGAGAAAGCATTACATATGCATCTACCTAAAGTATATTTTTCTACTTTCAGACATAGGCTATGCACCTTGAATGCAAACATAGAATAGACAATAATATTTTAGAATTATATTGAAGTCAATGTTTATAATTTAAAAATATATATATTCTTAAAACATTTTCTTAGTATTTCTCTTTAAAATGTAGGTTTATATGTATTTGTGGTGTTCAGAAGTGTTTAAGTCTTTAAGTTGGCATGGATTTCTGAGCTTACTTTATTTTTTTGTACTTTTTTGTCAAAAGCTTTACAGCCAGACAATACCTAAAATATATTGTGTTCAGAATGACAAAGTTACATAAGAAGAGAATCCCGTTGCACTTAAAGAAAAATGCAATTATTTTCCATTCTGATTCTCCAGACTGCTGTTTTAGAAAATCATATCTGATTATTTGCTCAGCAGAAGATTATTGAGTTGATTTAGCTGTGATTTTACTTAACAAAGCTTCAACTGAATTCCTACTGTGGAGTCCAAAAAAGGTAGAGAGATATAAATGATACATTCAAACTGTGATTTTTGGTGAACAGGGCCATCAATGCACCCCTCGGAGCTAATAGCGGAGATGAGAAACAGTGGGTTTGCACTGAAACAAAATGTACTGGGGAGAAACTTGACCGCAAATGATCCATCACAGGTAATGATCTTTTTATCAGTAAGCTGAAAATATCTGTAAATCTAAATGTGATTGCTTATGAATTGTTACTTAATGTTTTTATAATATGCATAGCCATAGGAAAGCCAAATAGATAAAGCAAGGGATGTATGTCCTGAAATTCACTCTGATTTCCTTTTTTTTTTATTAGCCAGAATGATGGATCTGAAATAATTTTTCAGCCCATAGTTTAATAAATGAAATGCCTCCTGTGGGTTAGAAGAGATTTAATGTCTGCTGCAGGGAGTGATTTTTGATTTCTCTATTTTTTCTGTGATATTTCCTCCCTTAGCCAGAACTCCAGGAAGAACCAAGGTAATATAATAAAAATACTGTATAGTCCAGGAAAGGCAGGCATCCCTGTCTCATAATACTTTTCTTAAAAATCACATTTAGACCACTGCACAACAAAAGAGAGAGAGAACAAAGTGTTTAAGACAGGCGGGCAGTTTTCCACACACGGTCCATCTGTGGGGTCAAAACCATTTTTGGACCCTTTGGGGCCATTGCCACTGAATTCAGCCTTGCAGAAGTACCCTCCCCGTGTTCACTTTTCCCCCGCCCAGTAAAACAAAGTTTGTGGGGAACATGCCTTTTGTTTTATTATAGGATTTGTGTGGAAACCATAGTTCTACTTGGACCAAGGCACATTTGTCCGTTCTCCCTTTTTCTTCAAGCAAATGCAGCTTAGGCAAGCCCACATGCATACAAAATTAAGGCATCACCAAATACTGGGAGGGGGGCTGGGGTTTAATTTCAGCCTGTAGTGGAATCTGGGGTTAGGGGAGTTGGCCTTGAATCTCCCAATGTTGCCGACTCCTGTTTTAAAGTTTTAATATTGAAAACTAGAACTAGAATTATTGTTACTTTGTGTATATGTATACCAATGCATAGCCTTAATTTGACAGAAATATGTCAGGTTCCTCTCTCCAAGTCAACATGACCTTTTTATTTTAACTCATTTACTTGTAGTGCCCCTGCTACATTTAGTCAGTCATCTTTAAAAGTAGAATTTATTATCCGTGTTGTTTAGAACAATATATTATTCCCTTTCCACCGCGGTCTGTTCCTTTCTCTTTTTTTCCTGTTTCATTGTCATATAGTCCTATAATTATATATTTCCTTTTGTACAGAATCAGAGGACAGAATAAACTATCTCAACATTCTAATTTATTATATTGTTTAAAAAAACTATTGGTGAAAAAAGCAAAAAAAACCACAAACCATACCTTGTTGATTCGATACCCAAATTAAATAAGCAAATTCCATTCTTCCTTAATGTCCTATTTCAATTTTCTCTTCTTTCCTGGATGTTTATATACTATAATGTTATCCAATTATCATTGTGTTCTATGTTTTCCCTCTTCGTTGACAAAGAATTGGTTAGGAACCAAATTTCCATGGTTTGTCTCATGATTTATGTGCAGCAGTCAACCAAGATGTAATTATTGACATGTGTTCTTTTCTAACAACCTTTTTTGTTGCCACAAAGAAGATTGCTTGGAGACAGTCAATGAATTATTATCTCCTATTATTTCTATAATTTATTTTACAGTTTCCTTTTTTTTTTACAATTTCTTCTACCAATATTATTTTGCTTCAAATTGTTCTGACAAGTTATGTTTCTGTTCATAGGAATTTGTGGCAAGTGAGGGAGAAGATGACCCAGAAGTGGAATTTTTGAAATCCTTGACAACAAGACAGAAGCAAAAGCTTTTGAGGTAACGATATAATGTACTTTGTACCATCTCTGTTTGTAATAGGTCTTACCAACAGAAGTACTTTTGATGCCTGTTTTGTTTTATGTTGACTTAAATAGCTAACATTTGCTCACAAAAAGTGTCAAAATATGAACCAGCTGCCGAAGTACATTTATTTTTTGTGCATCTTTCCTGTTAATGTAAGAGAATTTAGATGTAGCCCTGCAGTGTTCATATCACTCTGACCATCAATCTGTTACTTTGAAGGAAGTCCTGTGTATTTGAGTAGGGTTTACTTAGAGCCTGAAGGTAAACCTGAAATCCCAAAACCTCTGCCTTTCATTTGCTCTCTTGATAGCGCAAATGAGCCTAGGAACACCGTGCCTGGATAATATGATGGAAGATGATATGTCACACTGACTCTTTCTAAGTTTGAATACAATTTCCTTTGAGACCTTGGCTTTCTTTAACAGTTGCATTTTCTAACACTGTTCTGCAGCTGAATTGTATTTTTAAATAGCATTTGGAAGAAACCCCTAATGTTAATTTCTTCCAAGTAATGTGGAAGGAACTCGCATTACTCTTAAATTTGCACAAATTTACAGGATTACTCTCAGTCATTTTGACAGATCTGTAATTGCAGACAAAATTATCCTTAGCAAGATTAGAGTATATAACAGATCTCTATATATTACTTTATACTTGGCTGAATCCAATTTTAGCCCTAGAGTTGTTGATTTAATTTTGTGACTTAGGTTAGTTGTGCTTAACAAGTCCCATTTATTTCAATGGGCCTCCTCTAGATAGGAGTAGAACTGGAAGTAGCCCAATATATATTATTGGCTGAATAGCTGAATGACTTAGGTAACTGGGTGCAGAATCAGAGGTCATCAGTTCCCTGTGTCACTAGACGAAGGGAATGGTAAACCACTTCTGAGTACTGTATGTATACCTAGAAAACCCTGGAATGGGTTGCCATAAGTCAGAATCAATGTGATGACTCATAACTATTTTCAGTACCCACTATGGTGCAGTGGATAGAGGGAGGAACTAGAACTCAGTATACCTGGCCATAACAATTTTCAGGGCATGGAGGTGGTAAAACAACTTCTTAAACATAGCATTTACCTTGAAAGCCTTTCTGGTTTGCTGTAAGTCAGTTCCAACTTGCCAAGCACATCACAACGTGTACTATGCTATACTCTGTGTATTACTGTTGTCAGCTTCCTTGAGAGCTTGGTATAGAAAGCGGGTATACTTTTAAATAAAGAAGTTGGCTTACTTACTCTTCCCTTCTGTATGCACACCAGAAAGAACATAAGCAAGTGTCTGCATAAACAAGCAGCAGTTGTGTGGATCAGTATTATGGTGAGAGGGAAGTGCAGAATCCTAAATCCAGCTGTGCCATGCCTTTTCTCCCAAATGATGTACTGCCACTGTTACCAATTATCTGCTGGGTTATGGGGGAGGAGTGCTCACTGCTGGAAGAATTGCAGATATATACACAATGGCCATCCCAGGTAAGCAGGTTTTCATGCATGGCTACAGCTTGTTAGGAACAATAAGCTGCAGCCCTGATTCTATAGTATTTAACAGAAACACTTCCTTTCATTTCTGGGAACATGATTGGAACCATATTTTTTGGAACATGACTCCTTTGATTTTTTTTTTAAGTGCTGTTGTAGTATACTCTCAAATACATTGTTAAAAAATTATTTACGTGGTTTATTGGATCAAGATATTGAGAAACACTTCAAGAGCAAAGCATTGAAATATGCATGTTACAGCCCTTCATAAAAATTGCAGAGGTGAATATCTGAAAAGTTAGATCATGTTTTTAATTTAAAAAAACAATAATCTTAACCAGCTTGTTCAAAGAACAAACAGAAATCTAGCTTCAAGGCCCAGGTTCAGAAGGCTTTCTCCCCTTCCATTATACACTACACAAGTCAACCACAGCATAACTTTTACAGTAAGCAAGAAGGCTGTAAAAAAAAGAGCAGGTGGCAAGTTTGGGGGTCAAGTGTTTTGTTATTTTCTAAATAATAAGCTCATCACATCCTGATGTTTATGGTGTCGGATCTGTTTAACAACTGACCTCTCACAGATACCTGCCTTCCACTGTTATACCTCTCTGTTTAATTGCTCTCCTTTTCTGTGTTCAAAATAAAAGGAAACTGGATCGCTTGGAGAAGAAGAAGAAGAAGAAAGATAGAAAGAAGAAAAAGCAGCAAAAGAAAAAAAGCAAAAGTAAACACAGGAAACATAAGAGCAGGTCCTCCTCCACATCCTCCAGTGAGTCTTCAGGAAGCAGCAGCAGTGATGGTGAGACTGACAGCCAAGATAAAGCAGCACAAAAGGAGAGGGATTCTAAGGAAAGAAGAAAAGCCAAGTGTTCAGAGCCTAGCAGCAGTGACACTGAAGGGAATGCGAAGACTAAGGGAAAACTTCATGAAGATCCCTCCAGCAGTCATGGTAACAAGGATAAAGATAGAGAGAAGAGTAGACCTTTAACGCAAGACAGTTCTGCAGAGAACAACAAACAGAGCTCCTGCGAGGGCAAAAGAATGCCTGCAAGCAGATACGACGACACAGACAAGAGAAAGGAATCTGAAAGATACAGAAACGCAGGGAGAAGCCAAAGCAAGGAGCAGAGCAGAGGATCTCACACAAGGCACACGACTTGTAGCCCAAGTGAGGAACGACACAGGAAAAAGGAAACCAAAAGCCGTCACTCAGACATAAGCAGGGAGCAGCAGAAACATAGGGAGAGCTGCAGTAACAAATACTGTCGAACGGAGCATAGAGAGAGAAACAGAAGCCGGGAGAGGAAAAAATAGATAATGTGGGTGGCAAACCCGTTTTTGCACCTTTTTTTTTTTAGAATCCTTTAGTAAAGGGCTCCTCATATGCTTCCCTCTTTCTCATATGTCGGTTCTCCAAAATATTTAAATATCTTACTTCAGATAGTACTATGTTGTGTGTGTGACATGCAAAAAAGAGAGACTTTAAAACATGGGTACCACGTTATGTTGCTGCAAAATGTATCTTATTTCAGGAGGAGGACACTTGGTTGAAGAGAGGAGGTGTGTTTGGTAAAATTAAAATAATTATATATTTAAGAGATGTCTTGGTGTGTCTTTATAAAATCAGAGTTCCCCTGTTGTGCATTATTTCTCCTAGCATTTCTCCTTTTCAGGCAGGATTTTAAACAAGAAGTGAAGATCTCAGGAATGCTATATTGATTGAATATAGAGTTTCAAAAATGTTTTTAAAGTGTTTAAAAATTGTTTTAATTGTGGTTTTAATATGAATACCTATGTAATTGTTCTAAGTATAATGTTTAATGTTTTTAAATCTGTGTTTGCTATATACCGTAGTTTTAACTGTTGTGAACTGTCTTGGTCCCCCATGGGAAGAAAGGAGACAGACAGACAGACAGACAGACAGACATGTTTGTGAGAATAAGTTTATGTGTTAAAAGGATGTAACAAAAGTGTGCCAGTAGTATTTGACATAGTTCTGGATAAAATCACAGTTACAAACCACAAATTAGGTAATTTTTGAGTGGAAGCATTCCTCCCCTCCCCCGAGGACAATTTTACGAGTTAAAACAACAGAGCAACATATTTCCCTGTAAGTGTGTAGCCAACATTTTTGGCCTCCTGCAGTGTATAACGTGGGCAAGGCTATCTAAGCATCTTGAATCCCTGTTGGTGTGTGTCACCACAGTGTGAAGTTATTGTTCAATAATTTCTCAAGACATGGGAAGAATATTTACTGTCTTAACAGCTTCCAGGTATTGTGTGCAGTAGGAATTTAATGGCAGCCCTACTCTTCTCTTTTAAGAAAACACCTTATTTCTCTTCAGAGTTTGGAGAACATTTTCAGAAACCCTACTTGTTATTAAGCATTTAATTCCATGAAATAAATTGTCTTAATTTATCATTTCAAGTCTTTGAGACTTGATTGCTGTTTCAAAATCCTAATGCTGCATGTCCTTTTCAGTTCTGAGAGAAGAGGAACAAATTCAAGATGCAAGCAAACATTTTTCTACTTCTGATACAGAATATTGTTTATGTTTGTTTCCCAGGCCACTTTGTACCACTGTGCAGAAACCTTATTTATTTACCACAGAAATGGGTTTGCTAAAAATATGACTTAATTATCTTGCCAAGCTTGGCCTTTGATGCATGTTACACCTTTATATGAGTGTTGCCATGAGAAATTCAAAGCTAATGGAAGCATCAAATACTTCCTGCACAAGCAGGACTCCACATTACATTAGGTTGATAATGCTGTCATTAAAAGAAATTATGTAGATAGCACCATGGCTGATGTCTTGTGCGTACTTAACTTGGAATGAAGTTCCATTCGACTCAGGGGATGTAAATTTCCAGCAAACATGCATAGGGCTGGGCAGCAAGGAAGCAAATTCCAAGGAGATAAATAAATAATTATTTGAATAACAGATCGATACCTAGAGTGAGGCAAGTAATAGTGAGAGTAAAAATTAGCATATCTTGCACTTCTGTTATCCAAAAATTTACAGAGTTCCATCTTTTAAATATAGAAAACAAAAAAAGTACATAAAATTGACAGATTTATTATTGCTGCCTGCATAACACTTTAACCCGATCTTTAAAAAACAACCCTATGTACTCAAGCTGTACAACTTTATGCTATGGTGAGACCCTAGCCTAGGGAATGTAAAGCACCTACAAGGAATTGTTCTGTATTTTAACCTTTCTGTCTGGAAGTGGTCCACAAATAATATACGCAAGTAATGTGAGAAGATGCCATCAACTGATTTTAAAGATTACAGTGGAGCACAAATGAAAAGGCAGTCTCTTATGTTTGTGAGGTCTACCGACTGTCACTGGCTTCACTGCAACAAGCAAATTTAGCACGACTGTTCCTATAATGGGACCTCTGTTTTCAGCAACATTGGCATGTTCCTTGTTTCCAAACTGACCCCAGGGCAGGAACATAATATGAAGTGTCCAGAGCAGATCTCTTCAAAGTTTATACAGTACTTGAGAACACAGGAGAAGGGAGGGACATTGCTTTTCACGTTACACTTGCATTGGAGAAACGTTTTTCAGCCCAGTAAAATCTGTGACCCCACTTTGAAAGGGCCTTTGGAATAACACATAAGTAGCGCAAGGCATCTATTTGTCTTTCTCTGAAAAGAGCAGTCTCTTCCCCCACCCATGTGGCTTATTCTGTTGTACATGGAAAAGGGGCAGTGGTTCAAGCTTGTCTTCCCTGGCAGCTTGCCACCCAGCTGCTACTGCTACACTTAATCCTCTTGTATGGGAGAAATGTATTGCCCCCTGTATTTTTAGCAAGCAGATCTATGTGTTCCACATTTGGTTTCTGAGGCAAGTTAGTAAAGCTATGCCACGCTTATGGGTCTGTCATTTTGCCGGCAGGGGCCTGCTTGAATTGAAAGGTTATGCTGCCATTCATTTTTATCAGCCTGCCCTTTCCTTCTTGACCCAGACCCACTGAGAAATCGTGCCTGTGTACTGAACGTCTCCTTGCAGCATCTCTCGAGTGGACACACCGGGGAGAATACTGCCAAGAAGATTATGCTGAATTGGGAAAATGTCGACAACGTCTCAGGGTCTGGGTTTGATTGCACTTGGAGATTCCCACTTTTGGGTCAAGCAGGCATGATCTGCACTTTCCAGGTGAGGCAGTGCAGAGCATCTCAGGTGGCAGAGCAACTGGTGAAGCCAGTTGAGGTAGACCTTCCTCTTCTGGTTTCAAAACACAGAGGACCTCTGGGGGCTATCTGAAGTGCCATCAGGAATTGGTGGGAGATATTTTTATGTTGAAATGAAGTTACTAGAATCTGGGCGGTTTACGGTAAAGTTACAAATAAAGAAAGCTCAGTTGTCTCTCTCGGGCACTGTCTAAAGAAGCAGTGAAGACCTCCCCTTTCTGTCGCCTAGTCACTTTTAAGCCATTGCCGTTTTTTAATCCATCAGTGGTGAGGCTCCCATAAACTTACTCAGATTCATCAAGGGCATTTTAAACAGAACTTTGACCCTGTCACACACCTCTTCATACCCTGCATATTTAGAAAGGCATGTTAGACCTAATGTAAGTTTATAATATTTCCCTTAAAAAAGGATAAAATATGCCAATTAATCCTGAAGACTGTTCCCTGTCATTTATTGGAAAAGTAAATTAGTTAGTTGCCAACGTATGAAACCAATTTTGAGTTTTTGGCCAGTCAAGGAAAATGGAGCTCAAGGTGTGTAAATCGACTGCTAGAAACCTGCTGGAGGAGCCTCTTTCTAGGAACGGTTTTGGCACCTTCGCCGTCTGCGTTAATTTGACAGTGGCAAATTAAACCCTGTAGGAGGTGCTGTTGGTTTATAAATGCCCACAGAGGCCGACTGTGTTTTGTTTTGTTTTAAAGAACCTCAAATACACTCCCCCCACCTCCAGGTCCGGCTGCAAAAGAGGCGGCGCTGCCACCAGTGTGCGGTTTCCCCTAAATTAAAAAAAATCTCGCTCCCGGCCCAGCAAACCTGCGCCATGTTCAGCGGCCTGCAGACAATGTCTATTCGGACGCCCGAGCGTTGACCTGGGGGAGGCTTTGGGGGTCAGGTGAAAAGGACTGGAAGGGGATTCTCTCAGGGCCTCAGACCCGAGCATTTGGTGGCCAGCCAAAAGGCCACTTGCATGCAACCCGAGCAGCAAACGACCTTTGGAGGTGCAAGAAGCATTTACCGGTGGCACAGGAGACGGCTTGTTTAGGTGGAAAGAATTGTGATTGTGTGTGCTTTGCAAACCAGGCGCTTTATCTCTCTCCGACTGACAGAATTCCCCGCTATACTGTATATATATATATATGTATGTATGTATATGTATATATATAGTATATATATGTAACATGAAACAGCTTCAGGCAGTCAAAGGCCGTCGGGATGTGATTGTTTTAATCAAAAGGAAGAGGAGGCAAACGCCCCGCCAGGCTCGGTGGATAAATAAGTAAATAGAGGCTACTCGTCACTCCTCGGAAGATGTTGGGGGGGAGCGTCGAAATTCATGGCCGCCTCCTCTTTCCGCCCCGCTCGTCAAAACACAACATTAACCACACTAATAAAATGGTAATGCCGTTGTTGTGGCAATTGCCATTTAACCCTACGGGAGGGCCGCCTTCCCACGGCTCGGCGGGAAGGCGGGCCCGCTCGCCAGAGGAGGCTGCGAAGAGAGCGGGCGAGCAAGCAATGGAGCCCGCCAAGGCGAGGGAGAAGGGGAGCCCTGCGCCACCCAAGCCAGCGAGGTCACCCCGGATGGCGGCGGCGGCGGCGGCGGCAACAAGGACGGCTGAGGCGGAGCAGGTGGCCTTGGCTCGCTTTCGGTTCTCCCGCCTCTTCCTGAAGAGGAACCCTTCGAGTCGATGGGCAGTGGGCCCCAATGGCGTGGAAGAGCAAATAAGGCCGCCTGAGGACTGCGGCGGCTCCCTCCTCGCCTTTTGCGAGTCTCACTTAGTGTAAAGCGTGTCCTTTTAGGATCGGGTTTCAGCTGGGAGCGTGGCCTCCTTGTACCTCCATGAGGTCCCGTCGCCAAAAAGGGCCTGTACATCCAAATTACATGCTAATTAAATGCCTGAGGCCGAGAGACCGCCCTGGTCTCCTGAGGGGGCCGGGGAAGCCCATGAGGAACCCCTTTCCACTGTGGGGTCCGAAGGAGGGGAAGGAGCCCGACCATACTTTCCACACGCAGCACTCCTGTGGCCCCCGGCGGACTTCCCCGGGCTGCTGGAAACTCTTAACTTGGCCTCATGCAGAAAGCCTGCGCTTAAACCGCCGACGAGGCACGGAAGGCTGAAACAGTTTTTGGACCGTGACTCTTGAGGCCGAGTGAAAGCTACCAAGAGGAGTAGCAGGCCTAGCGTTTCGGTCCTTTTTTTTACGCCGGCGTGGCGCCTGGAAATTTCAGAAGAAGCGTTGCAGGCGACCCGCTTGCTCCAGGGCTATCTATCCTCTCTTCAGTGCTTAAGCCACCTTTCTCTCTCTTCTTCCCTTCGCCGTCTTTTCACCCCAGCCTTTGCAAACAGGCAGCCCATCCCCTCTTCCGTCGCGTAAAACGGTTTTGGAAGAGGGGGATCGGGGCTTTTCCTGCCTCGGCGCTTTGCAAACAGGCAGCCCATCCCCTCTTCCGTCGCGTAAAACGGGGTTGGAAGAGGGGGATCGGGGCTTTTCCTGCCTCGGCGAGAAGCCTGCCAGGCAAAGCAGGTCGCGGTTCCTTTGGGTTGACGAGGCAACCCGAGCCGAGGGCTCCTGTGGGGAAGGAGGGATGGCGCAAGATGTGGCGCGGCTGGAAGGCAGAAAGAGGAATCGCCTACCCTTCCATTCTTTACCCGATTTCCAGACTCTGGAGAGAGAAGGAAATCAACTTGAGAGCGCGAGCATTTACACGGCGAAGGCGAGCAAATTATTACTAATTGAAAGGTAAATAAATAGGCGACTTCTTCCAGCAGATGCCTCCCTCTTGGATCGTTACAATAAATATCCCCGAAGGAAGCTCTTTATTTATGTTGTCATTGATTAATTCTCACTACATCGTTTGATTTCGATTTAGAACGATTTGATTCTAATTTAATTAGCATGTAATTTGGATGTACATAATTACTGTAATTATGACATTCAGGTAAGGCAGCTTTAGGCTGAAACGCAATTTCAAATATATATATATATATAATTCCAGGGGCCCCCTTCCACCGCGCTCCCCTAGCAAAAAAAAAAAGCAACACCCTGCTTTGTAGTAGGGAACGGACAAGAGCTTGGCGCCCTGCTCTCCAAGTAGTAATTAGCACATCTGGGAAGCAGGGAGAGCGGGGCCATTCCGCCAAGCAAGCAAGAAGCCCGAAGGCCGCCGGCGCCAGGGGAGCAGCGAGGTGGGGCCGCGGCCAGCCACTCCCGC